ACTATACTTATCCTCTTATTAAAGATTAAGAATGTTGAGTATTGTTATAACCTCACGCTTAACTGTATTACTTAATTTACAAAATTATTCATAAGTTCAAAATTATGTTACATATTTTAACTCCCAATTGTATTTGATTTATATTTGCCTATGTATATATGTATATATGTATATGTGTATTTAGTTGATGTACTTATAAAATACTGTTTTCGTCTTAAGTTGTACAAATGTTTTCTTCAATAAATATAAAATTTGTTTTAAACGTCTTACGTCTGCCAAGAGATTGTGCTGAGATCTTAAGTATAATTCCGCTCAAAGTTTCCGTTAAAGACTCGTGACATACTGACATGTTTCATGTATATAGATTTAAATCAATTTATGCTTTTAATGCTCATTAAAAAAACTTAGTTTTAAGATATATACATATATATGTAAACCATGTCGTCGTTTAAAGTACAAAACCGCGTATCAACATAATGCAAAACTGCGTATGTGAGGTTGCATGAATTATTTTGTAGAGAGTAAGAACACTTATATTTCAACATTGTTCTCTCTTTTAAAAGACAATCGCATTTTTGGCTGGTATATTTCAGGACGAATGGATAAGGCTTGAGCCAGGAGCTTCGGTGAGCAAATACAATCTTTGGCAATAATGTCAGTTACGCGTTTTTGCAGAATGACGATACGCGGCTTTGTACACTCTAAAAAATTTTTGTTTAAATTTGCGCATTTTAAGATAGGTTTCCTCTCTACATGAATGTTAATTTACACACCGTGTTAAAAACTGTGTGCCGTAGAACAAATTTCAAATTTGTTTGTTGAATTTTAAACACTTAATGCTCNCTCTCTCTACATGAATGTTAATTTACACACCGTGTTAAAAACTGTGTGGCGTAGAACAAATTTCAAATTTGTTTGTTGAATTTTAAACACTTAATGCTCACAATTTTACAGTTTACACATAAAATGTTTAAAATTTGCTCTGAAAATTTTCGTTTAAATTTACGCATATCAAGAGAGGCAACCAGTTTCCTCTCCTAATGTGTGCAAAATTAAACACTGCCTGTTTACTTTTATATACCAAATTTAAACATTTCATGTGTTACATACACTTTTAAGAGTGTACTTTTAACGACGATGTACACTAGTTATGTTGCATAGTCAGTAAGATAATTGTTATGTATTCCTTGGCTGTTTGAATAAATGAAATGGAGTGAAATAAATGTCGGAACGTTTTGAGCTGTTTTTGAACCATACGCAAAATAATCACTTCTGACCACACCCTGGTGAATGGAAGTCAAAAGCTTTTCGACCTTCGTGGACTTCTGCGCTCGAAACCATCCTCCTCCTCGCGATGTAGTTACGAACACGATAATCGGTTATAAAATATAGTAAACGTTTTAAGTTAAATCATAATTTAATTTTTTTAAAAATTTCTGAAGAGAATATTAAGATTCGAACAAAAGATATTTATTTTATCGATTTTATGGCAATTCTACGAAACATTTGTTTTCCCTTTGTAAAAAATATGGAAAACTTTAGTTTAGTATTAACCGATTTAAAAAAAATAAAAGATACGGGCCTGCTTACATTCGATATTCTTTAGTTTTGGGAGTAGGTTGAAAAAAAGCTTTATACCACCCTAATTTCAATTTATTTTGTTTTTTCCAAGTAAAACAAAATATAACAGAAATTATTCAGGTTCCTCGTTAATTAGGTTATGATGGGTCAGTTTTGTGATTAAATTAATGAGATTTTTATTAATCAAACTGTTACTCATCGGGGAAATTAATTGTTTTGATTAATCAAAAATTATGTTGCCACAGACAAATTTTTTTTCCTACCAAAATTTCCTACAATAACCAACCAAACATTGAGCTTTTAATATTTTTTTTTCAATGTCAAATTTATTAAAAACATGGATAACCTAACATTTAGTAAAACTAAAACTCAACTTTTAAAATAAAAACCTATTAACTGCGTATAACTGTACAGACTTATCCAAATGTATGTCTCTTTACACATACATACATATCGTCACTAGATGCGTATAAAAACGCGAGCTCAAAAGTTGACAGAGAAAAACCCGCGTAAAAAAATTTTCGGCGAAGGATGACCCTAAACATAGACGCGCTAACCTCTTTGACGGCAAAGAAAGACGCATAAACTTATTTTTGCGGTCAACTATGTGTACAGTATACGAATTCCATAAAGAGTTTTTCCGGAATGATGTTGAATTCACGTTTACGCGTCTTTCTTCGCCGAAATTTTTTCAAGTATATTTTTTCGTAAAATGTTTTCACGCGTCCTTTTTCGCCCGCAAAACACCCGAGCGTCTACATTCGTGCCTAGTGACGATATTTTTATTATTATTAAGTCGGAAATACTCGCGCTGCGACCTAAGAAGATATATTGTGCTAAATCCTAACGGTAATTACTACATCCATAGCACTATGGTCCGGGAACTGCTATTGGTTGGCCGAGAGTCATTTTTTAAAGTATCGATAAATCGACTTTTTCCCTTCCATTACTAAACTAATTGACCAGAGCAAAAAAGTGCATACTCAGTTTTTTCGTAAATTGTTTTCCCGTTATGATATCAGCTGTTAAAGTTGACATATCTACAAAACGTTTTCGTATTTTTTTCTTTCGTAGTCAGAGTTCTTGTAGTTCGAATTGAAATATTTCATCGAGTAATAAAGCTATTCAAATACAAGAATGGAAATGAATAACAAAGGTAATATTTTTGCGATTAACAACAAAAGCTTGTACATATGTAGCTTGCTAAGTAAAAATGAAACTCCTTTTCAAAATGAACTATAATTTATGTAATAATATCTCACTTTTAATTGGAGCTATATAAAATTGGCTTCATTTGGCGGTCTTCATACTTCGTGGTTCAATTGTGGTTGTGGTCTGAGAATCATGTTACACGTTTTTGCATTTTTTGTAAAATGGGCTTTTTTCTTATAAAACTTCTACGTATATTTTGCTGTGCTTTTCGATGTTTGGACAGAAGCAGTCAATAAAGATGCAAAAGAGCCCACCGTTTTAAACTTTATATTGGGAAATATTATTAAAGGGAACACATCCGAAGAATATAATATCTACATTAGGGAAAAAGCAAGAATGGTATGCAAGAAAATATGCGAAAAATGGGAGAAATGTCATCGACAGCGCGGATATTTCTTAATTCAAAATGCGAAATGGCTTGAATCAAAAACAATAATAAGAAAACCCGATTCCATCAACATCGACAATGAGCCGCAAACCTTTTGCCTATATTCAATAGTCGGACTGGTCCCAAGGAAGACAAGCTGCGGAGTTAGCAGGAAATCAGGAAAATAACGTAGACTTAATGTTTCGTGCTACTTCCACAGCTGCTTAAAAAAGAGACCAAGTGGATTTAGCTGTTACTTTGAGAACAGTTTGTGAAAATCCCACGAACGCGCATAAACTAAGAAAAGTCCTTAAAAATGGATCCAATGAAAAGCTAAACATTTTTTGGTGAAAAAAAAATTATAAAATTTGAGCGCCGTATTGGATCCGCCATTTTCAATTTAAAAAATCTGACATCAAATTTTAAATCAGCGAGCTCGAGAACCCCCCATTTATATGAGTTCTTGGTGAAAAGGAAAAAAAAGATAAAATTTGGTCGCCATATTGGATCCGTCATCTTGAATTCCAAACATCTGACATCAGATTTGAAATCAGCGACTTCGAATATCCCTCATTTATATGAGTTTTTGGTGAAATGGAATAAATTGTAAAATTTGTTCGCCATATTTGATCCGCCATTTTGAATCTCAAAAATCTTACATCGGATACGAAATCAGGCTTTTGGTGAAAAGGGAAAAATTATAAAATTTGGTCGCCATATTGGATCCCTCATTTTGAATTTAAAAAATGTGACATATTCGAAATCAGCGACCTCAAAAACTCTCGAATACGAAGTTTCTAATCAATTTGGTTACTTCTCGACTTTTGGCCAGGAAATGATATTCGCCAGACCATAGTGCATAGGCTATTTAAACTATTTAAAAAATCTCAACACTTTGGATGATTCCATGTTCCAAATTTTAGATGAAGAAGACAACCGTTCTCTAGGGTATATTAAACTACGATTCATGCTTCGTGTGCAGGCCAGCCCACAAAACCTACAGTCCGTCTCTACAGAAAAACCCATTCAATTCAAATAGCACGTTAACGTTCAGTGTGCTGTCAGGTAGCCAGTAAGAGTTCTAAGTTCAAGGAGTCTTTCGGAGTTCCTTCTGGAAGTAGTTATGAATATCTTTGATTGTCTTATTCCTTTTGACTTCCGCTAGTAGGCAGCTGAGATTATTCCTAGCTCCTAAGTAGGTCTGCAGTGTATCCTTTAGATGTACCACAGAATAGCTCGGGACCATGCAAGCGCATTTGGTCCTCCCGCTTTGCGTGACAGTCATGTCCCGGAACCCAGCACAGCGTTAAGCTAGTGTAGACCTTTATGCCGTTTTAAAAGAGAATATCCAAATAATATTTATTCTGGCCTTATTTGCCTTCTACGATCACATTAGCGAACACAGACTTCAATTGCGAAGACCTCCGCTTGGAATATGATTGGATACGAGCCCATTGGCAGACTTTTCTGGACACTTGGTCCAAGTACGCCATAAATTATATATGGATGTTCATATTGTATATTGTCAATAATAAGGGTAAACGTTTGTACTTAGGAATCAGGTATATTTACAAGTTTGCGGTCGCCGTTATACGAAATATTCGTGTAAAAAGGTTGCTAAAATGTTTGGAGATACATATTTTCTATTTTTCGCAAATAACTATTACTCATTGTAACGAAACCTGCCAAAATCTAACCAAGCCTAGCAACCTACCAAATGGAAAAAACCTACCAATTTTGGTAGGAAAACCCATGTGTGGCAACAGTGATCGCGCATCTCTACTATATACATATGCATATGTACGTACATGCAAAAAATAATTGTTTATTTATTTTTCAGCCTGGTCCTAAATATTTGGCGGTTCCGGTAACACTGCGGTTACTGTTCATACCTCTTTTTCTATACTGCAACTATAGTCCACTTAACATTGAAAGAAAACTGGCAGTTTTGATCAGTAACGATTGGATATACTGGTTTATTTCTATTTTGATGTCATGGAGCTCGGGTTACTTAAGGTAAGCGTAATTTGCATATATTTCGAAACTACTTTCTTAAAATCAAGTCTAAATGATCTAACACTCGTATATTGCTTTTAAAAATATTATGAATTTATTTATAAATTCTTTTGATTTTATTAGTTTGTTGCGCCTTGGAGATACATATATGCGTGCGCATACTTATCCAATTCAATATACTACTATATATTCTATAATTAGTTCCTCTAAAATTGTTTGATGGTATCCTAAAAAAATTGGTGTCCTTCTGAGCTTTCCTAATGCTTAACATATATCCAGAATATGGTAGGTAATGTTGCCGAATCACATCCAGAGCAGGGAGTTTTTGCGCGGATACCGAGTATACCCAGTATTCCGGATACGCAGTATTCCGTTCAGCGTTGCCAGAACTTTTCCAGATAAAGGTTAAACGGGAAAAAATAAAGCTAAAAGAAGTTAATCAAAATTTGAGTTATGGCCGAACAAACCTGAAGACATAAAATAAAATTTCATATACATAAATATCTTCGTCGTTATTATAATTTTATAACAGTGCCAATGTTTAAGTTACATGTTAAGAAAAATATCTGAAACTTTAAGAGAGCTTGTTGAGATGATAATCGTTCTCTAAAAAGTAGTGACAGTAAGTGGATATTTAAAGCTCCGTTAGTCTAGACTTAATTTCCGTAACTTAACTTAACTTAACTTAATATCTTGGCCAACCTGCTATATGAGAAGCTGTGTTGGCGGTTAGTTAAAACTTAAATTACCGTAAGAAACTTAAGAACCTGTAGATTTTAGGTTCTTATGTTACGGCCTTACGGAAATTGAGAGCGGTGAGAGAATCAGGCTTGCCAGACTCTCGTTTTTGTATTTCTTAAAAATAAATGAACGCAAACATTTTTGTTTGCATAATTTTTTTTGAATTGGCATTTTAAGAGGCGAACTGTTGAACAGCTGAAAGAGAAAATACAAAAACAAAATATTTCCGCTCTTGGCTTACGTTGACGTATTGAGTTATTATTGATGATTTCTTACGGTAAGTTAAGTCTAGACTAACTGGGCTTTAAGTCCCATCGAGTGAATAATATTCACTGAATATCAATCGGACAGTATCCTCTATACACTAACCAAAGAGAGAGCTCACTCCCACTCTCTCGTTACCAGGTTAAATCAACTCGAGGGTGACTTTCCTGGCCAACTAATTCTCAACACAATTCACTGGTATATCACTATGGCCTGGTATTCATATACGTATACAAGTCTGGTTGGGAAAAAATCAGGAGAAATTGAAAGAGAGGTCAGGCATTCACCAAGTGGCTTTGACCGCGCCGTTGGCGTGTTCATGGCACTGAAAGGGAAATAAAAATTGGTACTAAAAACCTTAACATAGCTAAAATAAGAAATTTATTTTATACAATTTTATTTTACAAGAAAAACCAAAAAATACAAATTTTAAAAATATTCATAATGACGCCATGCAGTAAAGCCATAGGCACATAGAGAAATAAGGCCATATTTTTACGTATGCTCTTATTTGTCACTGTCAAAATAAAATGAAGGCCATTGTGTCGTTATTGCACCTTTCATAATTTTTGGTGTAATGTTTACCTAGTGCACAGCTGGTGTTGCATATAAAAGTAACTCGGTAATTTTCTAGTTTAAGGTACAACTTGCAAAAAAAAAACAAAAAGTCCAAAAAATGTCATCAGGGGTACCAATCGGAGCATTTTAATCTGTGTATTAACAATTCGGAGGTGGAAGGATAATATTGTTAACCTTTTGAAAGTTATTAACAAACCAATTTTTTAGAATAATGCTATTTTTATGAGCAATCGCACAGTAAAAACTGCCATCAATCACCATTATTCACCTTTCAAGCACTAGTAAAACATATAATTTTAAAAATTTGTTCAACAAGCTCATATTTTTGACAAGAAACTATTGTTTATTTTGTTATTAAAACGCAAGTAAACAATGTACCCGAACTGAAACGAGAAAATGCAAAATGGCGAATAGTGCTGTCACTATATTTATATTTCGTAATAATTCAGTTTTCCTTTTATGCCGTCTGCAATGTTGATTACTTTTCGGTTTTGTCATTAACAACTTTGTACACACTTTAATTATATATATATTTCTTAGCGATGTAAAAGAAAATCTCATAGATATATACAAATGCATATGCCTATGATATTTTTTTTTAAATCGGTAAGATGCATATTAACTAGAGGAATGTATGAAACTGTTATGAAATAGGATCGCATTTCTCATATGTAAAATTTTTGGTTATGCCTTTCCCAATGTGAAGTGAAATAAAGTCATATGGCATTACTTCCTATGCCTAAAGCCATATGATGTAACTTCCTATGGCTGTATTGCACGGCGTTGTTCATAATCAGGGTATTCATTTAAACGCGTAAATGCCGCGTAACTGTGTAAACCTCGTAAATAAACCGGTTTTCCATACAAAATTAAGCATGTTTCGAGATTTACGTGGTTAGGAGGCGCTTACTCGTTTATATGAATTACCCTAATATGTTTGAAAAGTTTGAACGTTGCACAGTGAACTTTTTTAGGGGTTTGAATGATCAATAATCTCTAACTTTGGAATGGGCTTAAATTTTTTTTCGCGGTTTTTTTATGTTATGTAGAAAATTGTCTTTCGATAGCGATATCAAAAAATTTAAATATCTTCCAATTTTATGTTGAAAAGTTACCAAAATTTTAAAAATAAATCAAAAGATATGTATATACATACTTATATGTTGCCAATTCTATTAGATTATCAAAAAATATTTTATTTTATCGTTTTTTTTTTATATTCTTGGTATCGGAAGTGACTTATGCAATTATAAATAGCAGCAAAAAAAAATTAAATAAATAAAAAATCGACTTTATAACCTGACCCGAAAAATAATTAAAATTGATACAATTTTCATTCAAACTTCGAGATCTTTAAAGATTTCATTTTTTTCATTGCAAAGTTTCATGTGGCTAACGTTAACTTAATGAGGATTTTTGATAAAATTCAAATATTTAATTATTTTGTAAATTTGACCATGTAAAATCACTAAAAAATTGACCAAATCCACCATATTCCATGCAATAGAAATCTGCGGCAGAGAACTCCTCAGAAGAGGCACAGCCTTGAAATATATCTGCATTATGTCGGACAATCAGGTATCCTTCTGGCACTGAAGTCCCACAGAATAACTTCTAGGCTAGTATATGATTGCTTCAGTGTTCTAAGTTCACTAGGGGCCAAAAGCACNTAACTTCTAGTATATGATTGCTTCAGTGTTCTAAGTTCACTAGGGGCCAAAAGCACAGCCAAAAATTTATCCGTTCTTCAAATGAAGCTTCAATGAAACTAGTTAGCTTAAGCAGAGAGGACTTCAAAATTCTCACTGGTTACTACACGGAACACTGCTCCCTTCGTTATCATTAGGGCCCGGATTTCTATGCATTTACATTTTTTTTTGTAAGTCATAGGAACTTAAAGATTAACAAATGTTGCGAATCAAGAGTTTTGTGGTAAGATGACATCGATTTGTTAGTGTATATTCTTACATATTTTGCCTTAAATGTCTATAAAGGGATATTTTGTCAAAAAAGCATATTTAATTGCATTTTTTATTAAATGCTGTTTGTCTAGAACGGACGTATCACTCCACAATTGCAAGAGCATTTGATGATTCCATGCAACTGATTTCGTCGAAAATTATTTTAATGTCACTGACGCGAGCACATATATCGAGCCCTAAACGTTAAAACAACGTAAGCGACATTTATTTTTTATGCAAAATTGCATCTATATGCTCTATGGCCATTTTTGCATCAAAAAGAAAATTTTTGAAAAATATGTAAAATCAGCAAAGGCGATGAAGGTATTTTAGCCAAAGTTACTGCACGTTACTTGTTGGGCACGCAATGTACCGAGTGGCCGAAGATATAAAGGCTCGCTTCAGTGATGTTGACGATTTAATATCGAATGGGAAAAATATTTTTAAAATCTGATTTGCTTTTAACTTCATGCATCCCAATATCGCTCTTCCGCCACTGCCATATTAGCGATATGGGGAACCTGGTTAGAGGTGGCAAAATATTATTGCCTACATTTTAAGGAATTTCAAACCTGTCTTAAAGATCTAAATGATAGTGGCGCGTCTTCAATATTGAAGGCGAAAAAAGCAATAGCTTCAAATTCGATTGAAGCACGGTTAGCCTATATCAATGCAAACTACAGCTTCTTGTCGGAAATAATAATAAACTGGAAGGAAAAAAATCATTGGCTGAACATGCATGGCATGACTTAAGATAAGTAGGTCTACCGTGACAAACCTTGCGATCTTCTCTGAATTTTGTCTGTCCGCTAATCCGGTAATCAGGTCGATGCAGTTTATACTGACTTTTCCAAGTCATTCCACATAGTAAGACATTCAATTCTAGTATCTATATTAGCAAGTTTAGGTTTTCACTCCGTTTTTCTGTCTTGGATAAAATCGTATCTATCGTCGCGCAAATGTGCAGTTGTGGTGGATAATGCTTCTCGTCCTTTCATTGCGTCTTCTGGCATTCCCTAGGGAAGCATTTTAGTCCCCTTCTATTTGTTATTTTTATTAATGACATTTCCAACTGCTTTAAACACTCTTAATTTCTCTTATATGCCCATGACTTGCAAGTATTCACAACTGTTTCAAGTAGTTTAGATTCTGACAAGCTCCAATCGGATCTTAATAATATTGCTTTCCGGTGAAGTATCTATATATTATTCTGAAACAAGGCGCTTATTCCCAGCAATCTACAAGTCGTACAGAGACAAATTATACATCAAATTAAAGTGCTCGATCTGAAACTTTGCACAACCTTTTCAGATTTAAGATTCATTGAACCATTTTCGAAATATTTCCGTCGAAAGATTTTAAAATTTTTACGTTGAGCAAAGCATTGCTACGTTCATTTCGATAAGCAGCGTCTCAGCGGTACATAAGAGAATGAAAAATGGTTATACAGTATAT